AATTCTGGGAGTTGAAGTCCACCCATCTTAAAGTTGCCAAGGTTGAGAAACACTGCTCTAGCTGCTTTAAATACTAGGCTTAACTTTTTTACCTGGGGGGGGAAATAAGTGACCTTAAGGAATCCCCCTCCCTCCCTGTTAGGGGTGGGAAGAGATATTACGCATTGCAATGACTGCTGAAAAGCTAAATATTGCCACTTCTTTGATTTCCCACAATTCCCTGGCTCCAGGCATTGTGGGGATTTTCTTTTCCTTTATAGCATTTTGAAGGTGAATTTGGCAAGGGTCATCAACATGTTGTGCAGATCATCCATAGATCGCCCCTGTTCGGAAGGCCGGATTAGGATTTCTAAAAAAATAAATAAAGAGGTTTTTAGAACTTCTGTTCCAAACGTCTTTTAGGGAATTGCCAAAAAGATTAAAAAATTGGGCTGTGTTTACCCTAAAAGTTAGGTCAAAACAGAGGCAAAGATCTGGACAAAACACAAACCGGATTAGATCACATTAAACTGGCGCGCGAGTGAATTCAATTGCACGCCGTCAGTGTGCTCACACCTGCGTAGTCAATCATTAAATATCTTTCACATCAATCATGAAAAGCGACAACCGGCTGGTGATTTTGAGAAGACTTTTCCAGCAGTCTGGGGGGAGGGAGGAAACGTTATTCGTCCTTTCCAAAATGTTCCAATACGTGCCAACTGGCCGCAATCCATACCTCTAAATCAGTACGTGCCAACCGGGCGCAATTTTTTTGCCCTTATTTTGAGAGCGGGGAACGATGCCTCAATCGATGACCGCTATCGTTTGCATTTCAACTGGGCGTCCCTTCCCAAGACGGAGGACATTGAGGTTAAGGACGAAGGCCCAGAAAATGTTAGGGTTAGGTAAGGAAGAAGGTTTGCTCCCACACAAGCCCGAGGAGTTTTTCATCCCTCCTTCTCAGGATTGCACCCGCTTCCGCTCTTGCTGTTTATCACCAAAAAAAAAAAAAAAAAAAAAAAGGAGAAAACGGATAGATGGTTTCGCCACCACTCTCCTCTGAACCTGTCATGTTTCCCATCCCCTTCGGAAGATTGCCCAACTGTTTCCTTCCTCTCGAGCTCCCTTTCTCACGCTTCAGGGCAGCCCCCCCCCCCAAACCCAGAAAACAACATTTCATGCCACGTGGCCCAGGTACAAAAACAAGTGCATTTTATTAAATTAAGGGACAATCACACAGTCTCCAAAACCAACACCAGACAAAACATTTGGCTTCTCTCCTGCCCCAATCGGTGGCAAACAACGCCGTGGCTTGGCTTGGCTTTTCACCGCAGCCCAAATGCCCCCTCTGTCTAATGGCAGGGCTGGCCCTGCTGCCACAGAATCCAGCAGCTGTGTTGGCAGAGGGTTGGCACCGTTCCAAACAGGGCACCCCGGGTTTTCCTCCAAGGGGCCTTTCGCCCTCTTGCCTCGCAAGCCAAGCAGGGCCACAGACCGAGGACAGTTTTGCTAACTCGGATCGATGCAACCAACGAAATTCTACATTTCAGACAGTCCTCCTGAAAAGGTCTCCAGGCATCAGCCCCTTTTCTAAGATATTCTATTTCTTCCCATCCTTGTTTCTTTTTCCTCGGTGGACTAATCATCTTTAATCATCATGGGACGGCTTTGAAACTCTGCAAACTCGGTCTCGTGCATCCCTGTGGTAGTAGGGCTACCTGTCAGCCTTGCGAGGTAGTCCAGACGGGAAGCACGCCCAGGTGAACTCATCCTACTTTATTGTAAGGTGACATTAACAGAATCTTGCGAGTCTGAAAGTCCAGCTCTCCCCCGTCACCTTTACAGCCCAAGAAACTAGGAAGGGTCCCTTCTGAGACGCTTTCCACGTCCCCATTCCTTCTGAAGGCTCAGCTGCCTCTTATCCAACTGTGGCCTTGTCTGCGGCTCTTCCCCCTGTCTCCCAAGGTTTCCCACATACTGTTACACTACTCCAAAGTATCTCTTCTTGGAGGAATGGGACGAACTGGCTGGCCATAAGATACCCAGGTGTTCAGTTTATCCAACCCTCTTCTGAAAAACAAAATCAAATTTCTTATCCTAGATCAGTGTTTCTCAACCTCAGCCACTTTAAGATGTGTGGACTTCAACTTCCAGAATTCATGAGTGGCTAGGGAATTCTGGGCGTTGAAGTCCACACGTCTTAAAGTGGCTGAGGTTGAGAAACACTGAGCTCGATAATCCTTTTTTCCATCAACTGCGCTGGTCTCGTGAATACATTTAGTGGAGGGCCACAGCGTCTTTTTCCAACCGAGTCTCCACTGCATTTTGGGCAACTGCATTTCCCATTTTGGGCAACTGCATTTCCAGGGCCCAAAACTGTGCCGTTTGTCTCCGGGAACAGGCAGTGCGGCCTGGATTGCACAATGCTATGATGTGGCCACCCGTCTGGCGTCCAGGGACCAGGGAAGGGAAATGCGTGGGGGGTGGCCACAACCTGCAGCTTTGATTCAAAAACCACAGCCCCGTCTTTAGAAGCACACAGCCCGAAGCAGCACCCAAGAAAAAATGGAGCTTAAAGGACTTTTCCTAACGTGGTCATGATTCCTAAGCGAGCGAGATTTCTCGTCCGACTCGGTTGTAAGGACTTAAGAGCCCCCCTTCCCAAATTTCCGACAAGTCAACCAGCGACCCGGCACGGCTCGAAGAGGACCTTCAGCAACCTTTCGTCCCCTTTCCCATAAAGGAATGACTTCTCAGATGTAACTTTCTCAGACTTTGGGTCCCCCCGTTCATCTATTTCGGGGAGATTTTGGCGACAGGGGTCAACGTCCCCTTGGACCTACGAAGGGCAAGTGATCAACCCACGCTTAAAAAAGCAGAAAAACAGCCAAATAATGCCCGCGCTCTGACCTTTGGGAAAAAAAGCAAAGGAAAGAACATTTCACACACACACACACACACACACACACACACACTGAGCAGCTGTTTTGCACAACCAAGAGCAGCAGAAAACAACCCTGAAAAAAATTAAAAAGTTTCGTAACATAGAAGGCAGCCGGTTCTCTGTGACCCAACTATTTGAGCGGTAAATCCACCACTTTCTTCCTGCAATAAAGGGGGGACGGTTCACCCCCAATTCCACTGAGTACAGGGCTGACTTGCAAGGTACAAGAAGTGCACCCCCAATTCGTAACTCCGTGAGCAGAGCATCAGGGTCGGCACCATCACGCCAAGCACCCAGATTCCCGGTCTGGCACCACAGATCTAAAATATTTTTAGGAGACTTCTCTGCCAGGAACTTTAAAAATATACTGTTAAAACCCCAAAGGAAAAATAAGATTCCCGTTGTGTTAAAAGTACAGTAGAGTCTGAACCAGCAGATTCCCCTATTTCACGCTTCACATCTGTAAGCAAACCAGCTGTGTTGCGTGGATTCGAAGGCGGTTCAGCGTCTGTTCTTCCCGATCTTCACCTTTTGGAAACCTCTTTTTTTTTTTGCTGAAAAAGGCATAAAAACAGGCCTGAAATGACTTCCCCAAATTCAGGATAAACAGCATCCCCCCGCCCCCTGCATCCTCGAAGGGGGAAAATCAGACAAAAAGGCACCTTTTCAGGCAAAAAGGAATCCCTAAACTCCTGTTTTTTGGTGGGAAGGATGCCAAAGTCACAGACTGAGGTAGGGCAAGGCGAACAGCAAACGCGTTCGTTGGGATGATCTGCGTAAAAAATCCATGTTTTTAGGGAAACTCTGTCTTTTTAAAAGCAAGGAAAGTTTTTTGGGGGGGGGTTTGTCTGTGCATCCCCAATAAACGCGGACTGATGCAGAAACAGGATGGGACAGCTTTGCGAAAAAATAGGCGGAAACCCACAAGGTGTGGAAAATGGGTAACTGAGGAGGCCTCGAAACTGACAAGGTGAAACTGGCAGGATCAGGCTGAAAGTGACAACATCTGGAAAGCGAGCACGGTGGGCCACGGAGGGGGGCTCCCTCGGCCTGGAAACCATCATCCACCACACTAGCGACCTCACATTTACCGTCTTCTGCAGCCTCGAGGCGACACGTCCTCCAAAAATGGCCAGAAAGAGGTCAGCTTTGGATGTCTCCCACGTTCCCCCTCTTTGAAGACCCCCGTCTCCAATCCGGTCCGTGAAAGGCAGGGGCGCTTCCAGACGCCTCGACCGCTCTGAGGTCTTGGGGAGAAATGCTCTGCAATGATGCTCGAAGAGGTCTCTCTGCAGGGCGGTGGGTCACCCACGTCTCGTGGAGGCCAACCATCGTGTGGCACCGTGAGGGTCTGGCCCATGGCCCTTTACTTGGGCAATAAGAAATAGTCCGCGTTGGAGACATCGTAAGGGCTGTGGTCTGGGGTGCGTGGGCTGTCGATCGAGCTCTCGCTGAAGGGCGAGGTGGGCGAGGGGAGGAGGGGGGAGGTGCTCATGGGAGGCTCCGGAGACAAAGGCGTCAAGGAGTAGGACGGCACGGGGTTGGGTTTGATTTCTCCAAACGGCAGGATCCCCCACTTCTTCCTGTACCTGGAATACCAACACCACCTGTCAGGAACAAGGCATCGTGATGTGGGGGCTGCATCCGGCACGCCCCCAGCTTGGAAAAGGACCTGCCCTTTCTCCAGAGAGTGGAAGACAGCGAGTCTGCAAGGAGGATTGGGACTGGATCCCGAAGAAGCTTCCCGCCTGGCTTCTTCGTCAGAAGTGGGGGTTGGCAACTGGCAGACCTGATGCTCTGGCCAGCCCTCGGTGAGAGGACCCGCCTTTGGATGGGGAGGGAGAGGAAGAGAAAGGATGAGAAAGGAAAGGGCGGTGTGGAGTGAGATGAGTGAGATGATGAGAGGAGAGGAGAGGAGAGGAGAGGAGAGGAGAGGAGAGGAGAGGATGAGATGGAAGGAAGGAAGGAAGGAACGAAGGAAGGAAGGAAGGAAGGGAAGGAAGGAAGGAAGGGAAGGAAGGAAGGAAGGGAAGGAAGGAAGGAAGGGAAGGAAGGAAGGAAGGGAAGGAAGGAAGGAAGGGAAGGAAGGAAGGAAGGGAAGGAAGGAAGGAACGAAGGAAGGAAGGAAGGAGGGAAGGGAAGGGAAGGGAAGGGAAGGGAAGGGAAGGGAAGGGAAGGGAAGGGACCACACTGCATCAGATCTGCCCAAATCACCTTGGCCTCCACCCAGTGAATTCCTGGCCCTCAAAACAAACCATGTTTGCTTCTCCCACCCTACTTTAAACCTGTTTTTTTTTCTTTGCCACCTCCCTCCTACCCTTTCCCCAAAGGTAGGTCCTTCACTCTTGAAATCCAGATCAAGAAGAAGGTTGTTCCCAGCACCCAGTCTCCAAACCCCCCCCCATCCCCCCCCCATGAAGAACCTCTTCTCACCGGGTGAGAACGCCAACCACCAAGGCCAGGCCCAGGGTGATGCTAACCGCCATGATGAGAAACGTGTGCAGCGGGACCGCCACGGCGCTTTTCACCACTGGAAACAAACAACACCGGAAAACCACAGCTGGTTAGGGCTGTCGGAGGAACCCACGCGTCTTCTCTCCTCCCAAAGTCTCCCATAATCCCGTGCTGCTTAGGCTTGCTCCGGGGGATTCTGGGAAAGCTGAACGGAGCCTGGGAAGGCCGCCGGCTTTCTCTGGAAATATCCGCGTGCTCTTTGTGCGGGGCCCACCAAGCTGGGGGTCCCGTCTGGCAGACCCCGAGAAAGGCCCCCCCCTTACCAACTGGCTTATCGGTGTGGCTGGAGGGCACGGAGGCCGTAGGCACGAAGGTGGTGGCGCCATCCGGGTCAAACGGGACCTGCAAGGGAGCAGAGCAGAAGACGTTGATCTCCCAGCTGCTGAATCACATAGGAAAGTCAGGATTCGAACTCCTGGCGGCTGAAAGAGGCAGACCGTTTTTCCGTTTCATTTAATTCCTTTGGGTGTTAAAACTTCCAGGCTGCCGCAAAGGTTTTATTCTGTATGCCCCAAGATGGAAAAATACAGGAATATCCACAACGGGAGGAGCGGATCGTGAAGACGGTACGGAAGAACCTGCAGAAATGGCTCCATGGACGTGTTTGATGAGGGAAGAGACGATCATTCATTGTATAAAAGCCTGGAAACCCTTTAGGGGCTTTTTGCTGAAAGTGGACAAAAACGGACGGGCGATTTGGGGATTTACGGGTTAAAAAGGGCCCTTTCTGAGCAGAAGGGAACCCTGATGATGTCACTTGGGAGGGTGGAAAGAGTCATAATTATGTTTGTAATTACAAACATTATCACAAGATCAGAAGTTGCTTCTTTTGATTTCTTTCTTAGTCTTGGACTTTTTTTTACTGTTTCTCACGTGTTCTTTAACTTTTCACCTCTTTTTCTCTCTCCTACTTTTTTCTTTACGGTCCTGTTGTCGTTTCGACATCTCACTCTTGAACCTGTTTTTCTTTGCCCCCCCCCAGAGATGCATTAAAAATCTATCGTTTTGCACATGCACGTGCAAAATTGCGAATCCAGGAATGACTCTTCGCTCGCCCCGCCGTCTCCCTTTTGCATTTCCAATTGCAAAGCCGCCTCAGAGAAAATACTTCAGTTGCAACTCGCTTTCAGAAAGGAAAAAGGGGGGGGGGCATTCAAATGAGTTTAAAAACGGAAGAAGCAGAAGAACAAGTCAACTGTTTCTCTCTTCGGGGACAGCCCCAAGTTTCTGACTTTGTCCTTAAATAAATCATAGTTCCTCTTTTTTTCTTTTTCTTTTTCTTTTTTAACCTGGTAGAGGAGAAAAAAACACTGCGAGCGTGGAAGCTGGTCGCAGATTTGAGATCTTCCCTTTTTCTCCCTCGATGATTTTCCCTCTCTCTCTCTATCTCTCTCTCCCCTTTTCTGGAACTGTCCTAAATCTTGTAGTGGGCTAATAATAATGATGATGATGATGATGATGATGATAATAATAATAATAATAATACTAGTGGGCTAATGATGATGATGATAAGAAGAAGAAGGAGGAGGAGGAGGAGGAGAAGGAGGCGGAGGAGGAGGAGGAGGAGGAGGTGAATAAGAAGAAGAAGAAGTAGAAGAAGAAGCAGATGAAGAAGAAGAAGAAGAAGAAGAAGAAGAAGAAGAAGAAGAA